AAATAGATTAGAAACAAGATCACATTCGTTGAACCGTTCGAATACCGAGTATTTTCAGACAAATCTCCATTATGTCGGCCGTTACTTGACACAATACCAAGCGATGATAATAGATTGTTGTTTTACCTGGAAGTTCTCATATGAATGCTGTACTCTTGAATTAACTAATAAAGAATTCAGAATACGAGAATAAGGTCGAAACTCAATTTGAGTTCGAGTTCAACCGGATGGGTCGATAGAATGAATTAAACAACGACAGAATCTTCTTCGAACTCTGTTTACCATATCAGTATACATTTTCAAGTGAATAAAATATCGAACATAATAACCTTCACGATCTTTGTGGATCACATAACATTCATTATAAAAATCGTGAAAGGTTGTTGCCAATGAGTATACATAATCACATAACTGAAAAGAGGAATGAAACATTTTGATCTATTCAAACAGTTCTTCTCGCAGTAATTGTAACCGTTACAAAAAATTTATTCATATAAAAAAAGAGTGCAAGTTTAAAGCATTTATTTGGCTGTACAGAGAATTCCAAATTTCATCTTAAAAGTGAAATGAACACAAACCTGATGCAGCAATAATGAGTCAAGCACAGTCAGAATGCAATCCGAGAATTTGAGAACGGTTTTCGCTAATTTATATTCGGCTGGATGCTCCAACGTCAAACATCCCTCATCTAACTTTTGAGCATATTTAATAATTTCTTCACGAGGTACACCAGCTGTACGACAAATTGATCTACAATTCGACAAATTACGGCAAACAGATTTTGCATGTTACAGTCAATAAAATTTCAGAAGTCCATTTTGGACAATTACAAAACAATTCATCAAAAAGAAATGATGGTTTCACTGCAAAAAAAGACAAATATCAATCGATTGATTGCATTCAGCATATTAACCGTATTCGTGCGTAAGCATACAACAGGTACACTGCAGTGTTACCACGATCGTCTAGCATCTGCAACCGTTATCAATGAATTGTAAAGCGAAACGCCGAATCAATGAGTTCAATGCTTATTCAATAACCAATAATAACTTGATATTGAAACAACAACAACAATAATAATAATACGATTGTATTCAATGATAATAACCTTATCAAACGAAAAAACGTAATCTTGCGTTCTTGTCTGTGATAAATCTGCGTACTTGATGCAGCCATATGCAACTGCTTCCTTCGCATCATTCAGTTCTTCTTCTGACATTACCTTCAAATATACTTCGATCAACTTCCAGCAAATCACATGCAAAACAAGTATAATGTAATGCAAGTTTTATACATTGACCGTTACGATTATCTTTCAGTGGAGATCAGTTCAGAGATAAAATTTATCATCAAACTGACAGCAAAAACTAAACTATCAAAATGAAACAATAAAATTTCACTTTATCTCGTTCCTTTTCTGCCAATTTCATTTCAGCCCTTCGAACGCCTTCGTCGAGAAGATCTGTCAAACGAATCGTATCACCAGATCGAGTTTTGAATTTCTTTCTGAAATTGACATTAACATCACTTGAAATTGACATCAACTGATGCAAAATGAATAAACGACATTATCTTTCGTGTTACTGCTATTATCAGATTCAATAATTAAAGTGACAGTGTATCGCAATTGCTGTACAACTGAAATCGTACAATTATTTAGAATGTCGTGCAATAAAATGCGATCCATTCGAATAATTTTAGTTTTGCCGCTGCAAACATTCAAAAATTCTTTTCCTCCCAAAAACTGATATTGATATGAATATCTATAGTGAGCAGTTCCTGCCGATGAGCATAAGACGTAATGTAAGACGGATATGATATAAAGATTACGTTCGATCAACAATAAATGCTTCCTTTAATGGTGGATGAATGTGCAATAAATGAAGAGCAAACTAACCGGTCATCCCCCAGAACCAGACCAAAAGCAACATGTTCTATCCGTTTCTCATCAGGTTTATACCAACCCAAGTCACGTCCTGCTGCGAAGATTGTCTTGAAACATACTGATTTACAGTTTGATTAAGTATCAACTGGTATACCCTAATCATTCGAAAATCATTAAAAATTACAAGGAATTGAAACGAATAATTTCAAAATTGAATAAAATTTGGCGGCGAATATAACTTCAAAGAACTGCTAACGATTTAACTACAAATCAAGGAGTGCTACTGTAACAGAGAAGCAATGATAAAAGCAATAATGATGACAGTAAAAACAACCAAATAATGATAATGACAAAGCAATAATGAATGAATGCAACGAAACGAACTCACTTGGAAATGAAGCGATTGGCCAGCATCGACAACATATATGATCCAGTCGGCTTCTTCCACCTCTAAACGATGTTTCAATGCGGCCAAATCAGACGTATCATACGTATTCCCTCCGTCTGATTTTACTACTGTTAACGGCACTTCACAGCCCGACGGGAACATCAGTTTACGACCTTCTTCGATTTGGATGAAACCTTAAATTCAGCGACTGATCAGATTACGTTTTACTTTGACACACTTCAGTCATCCCCCCATAAAGTGAATATGCTGGCGATAAAGAATATTTGCATGACACGTTGAGTAATAACCTTTCGAGTCGATTTCATTGACGACACCTTGCATGAGATCCTGATAGAATGATTCGCCACGCTCAGTGATGCGTATGCCAAGTCGGTCGTAAATACGAGTGAAATCTTTCCTCGAGACGTCACAAATCATCTGCCACGCTCTCACGAAGTTCTTATCATAACTTTGCAGTTTAACGACGCATTCATATGCGCGCGCTTTGAACGCTTCGTCCTCATCGAAACGTGTTTTCGATTCATAAAACATATTGTGTTGTCAGACAATAAATGACAAACATCTAATTCAGAGCAAATGAAAGAAACATTTGCACAAATTAAAATAATGCAACTGATCGATTACTCAATTTCCGTTAATGAATTCATATATAATTCATTTATTTTTATCGTGAGTGAATAATTCTGAACAAATTTTCAGATGAGTAAATGAAAACAGATAATACTGCCCATCGATTAATCCCAAAATATGAAGAAGTTGATGATAAACCTTATAGAAAGCTTGCAAATCAGCAATGGGCGGTGTTTCANTGAAAACAGATAATAGTGCTTATCGATTAATCCCAAAATATGAAGAAGTTAATGATAAACCTTATAGAAAGCTTGCAAATCAGCAATGGGCGGTGTTTCAACTAAAAAATTCGGATAGCGATCCTGCAAATGTGCGATTAGCATACCAAACTGAGTACCCCAATCACCGACGTGATTCAAACGGACAACCTGCAATTGATTAACGATAAGTAGAGGATACTTAATCAACTGTTTTAAATTATTGGCCGAGTCTGCAAATATCATTTGTAAAACGATTCAGCCCGACCATGATACACCAATAACGCACTACTGAACTTAACAAGAGCTTTTCAGCGAACAAATCAAGAATTAATCAAAATTGGCTGAATTCGTGATTAATTCGACTGATATTTTAGTAAACTGCACAAATATATTCTGTGAGTCGAAGATGAAATATACATCTGACGAACGGATAATCAGTGAGGATGATAACAACAATGAATCATCAATAAAAATGACCGTGAATCCGACGTATTCAAGAAGATTGCAGATACCATCACCAATAATCGTTGACCGCAAATGACCAACGTGCATTTGTTTGGCTATATTCGGTGAAGAGAAATCCACCACTACCCGACGTTTCGATATGCGAGGTAATGATACACCCTTTTTTAATATTAATCATTCGCTATGAAACGATATAGCAACACACGCAAAACAGCACATATTCTCATCACTACCCTATTCCTGACCAATGTCATCGCCATCTGCATCACCATAAATAGAACACAACGGGTATGTTGTGAGATGGTTTGCTTAATACAAAAATTTACTTTACTGCTTCTTTATTCTCTGATATAACACTACACGAAACTACCGTGAAGTTTTACTTCAGACACATTTACGAATGATAAATTCGTATTGAGAAGATCAACCGGAAGAAAAATATTTCACAATAAGGAGCAGTTGACAGATAGTATATTAAAATTACAGTGAAAAAAAAGCAATCCATATTGGCTTACTTGAATGGCGATTCGAGCAATTGCTTGCGCAATTGAGCTTTTCTTCAGAAATATGTTTATATATCCTGGACCTGCGATTTCAGTCTGGAATTGGAAACAAACTCGATATTCACTGATTACCCGATGAATATCCATTCACTGAATTGAATCAACAAAGTATTCAATTAACAAAGTGAATTTCTTGATCAAACAATTTCTGAGCGTTTTCACTTGCTCGAAAGGTTTCTGAGGACAATAAGAAACCTTCTCAATTTTATCACAAGTCCCAAGGTTGTCAACAATTTTTTGTGCGATATCCCGAGGTGCCACTTTTGTGCCCGTCAACTGACTCAACTTCTGCGATATGGCCATTGCTGAATTGAATTGATAATCGCCGAATTTCGCGACTGCTGTCTCACAAACTGCGATTGGAATATCTTCAACGTCCGGATATGCCTACAATTCACACTTCATTTAGATACCCTTTCAAAAAAACAGTCTACTATATGTGTTGATCCGTGAACATTTACTGTTTTCATTCACAGCTCCATACAGACATGAGAGTATACTTCGGTAAATTGATATTAATTTCAAGTGATGACGAACTCACTGCATCCTAAACGTTTCATCGGCAGTGAGCATTGAGACGTAGGCGATACGCCTCTACAAACATGATAGAGTCAAACCTTCTTGACAGCTTCATCGAACAAATGCTTTAAAACACCAACAATCGAATCACCGTAATCTTCAACCACGATATAATTATATTTTTTCGATTGCTTTGATAATATGCTAACACCACTGAAACGAAATACATGCATAAAGTAAAGCATTCTAAATGATATTTATTTATTTGTTCTCTCAACATTCATCACACTGAGGAAGTATAAACGAGTACATTCAAGCACTTATCGAGTATCACATTCAAATGATATTGCTGACTGGATAACGAAAACGACAGTTAATGCAGAGATAAGGTACACTTTCATCGAAAACATTGAATCTCACAAAGAATGACGGACAAATCGTTAACTACTCGATCCAAGGACATGTGATTATGTTTTTTCAATAACATTTCGATGTTTTAATACCAGTGTTATTGTTATCATGAACTGTAAAATGAATCGAATCAAGCCTACAATTAAAGCTGATATTAAATCGAATTTCAGATGGAGACAATATAAAGAATGATGGGACCTAGCAATAACTGAATAGTGTTTGCTGACTCAATCAGATTATATAGCTAACGTTTTGCTGTTGCTATTATTTCCCCTTTTTGACTTATCTTCTTTTTTTGATGTGTCATCACTTTTTTGAGATTTTATTTCACTCGGTTTACTTGTGCCGATCCCTCTTGATGCATTTGTTCTCTCTTGTTCGGCGATACTCTGAAATGGATCCAAGCAAGTTGATTATGTACAATGACACACTTTACACGATTGTACAACATGACTTCTTCAGCTTCCATCGAATGAATGAACAAAAACGACGTTCGTGGAATATTTCAATACAAGAGCGAAACGTCCAACAGATTTCCAATCAAAATATAATCATTTGAATGAGCTTTATGTAAACAATAACCTTAATGCACTATTAACGTGCATAAAATAATCTTCACGAAAAGGATCATCAATATTAAATATTAAATTCTGGAAAAAATAACATTTTTCAAGATTTCGATTCGATATTTCAATTTATCGTTCTCGGTTTTCACTTTTGCCAGTTCAGGACATTCCTCAAGAAGTTCTTCAGTCAATTCTCCACGATCCATCGCATCCAATAAACGTTGGTATCGACTCAGTGTTTCTTTCTGAATATTTCAATCTCACTCAACTCGAGTTAATGACTAATGCTAATGCATATGAATGAATATTCAGTACATGATAACACATCAAATATGCCATAGGTTTGCATATAATCGAGCATTTCGAAAATAAAGCTGAACGAAATGAAATAAGTTGAATTTGATGGCGAATGAAGATATGAGATAATGAATGAATAACTGAGCAAATAATGACGATTTGTTGGATTCGTCGTGAAACTCGTCAACTTTCAACAGAAACGACTAAGTGACAGAATCGTTTTAATAATTTTCAGTGCGTCCAATGCTTTCAGATCAATAAGAACAACACCATTAGAATCATTCAATCAAAAACGTCTTTAATAAAGCACAAAAAGAAACTAACTTCGCCGTTGTACTGTTCCTTGAGAAGTTGAAGTTGATCCTTCATTGATCGTTGGTCACTAATGTCGGACTTTGTTGTCTGAACCATTAGAATCCGCTAAATACCCCTTAATCACACTAATAAATTTGAATAACTGACTAATATTCCTCTCCAAATGAGAGTGCAGAGGAGGTGTGTGGGGTGAGGTGGCGCTGTACCCATCAGTACTAGACGCACTTGCTTCCAATACTTGTCAGAATTTCTGGTGGTTCTCTGCCTTCCACCTCTCACAAAATCACCGCCCCTGATGACCACTGGCCTGAGCTTCGATCACAGGAATATTCGAAACGAAATGAGAAACAAAACATAATCGTAAGTTCAAATGAATCAAAACAAAGAAACAACAGATAATGATTTCATCTCAACAATATAAGAGAAATGGACACATCGAAGAGCCAAGTCAAACGAAACAATTTTATAATCGTTCAGAACGAACAAACGAAACACAATATAAACGCAAACAAAATGCGTTTGATAACAATGACAATGGCAATAATAAAGATATACTAAGTTTATTAATTCACTTCATCACCTTAACAGTTATACTTGTATTCGCGAAAACATGAACACTTCTATTAGAAATGTCCACCTAATCACAAAGTAACTGGTTAATAAACTATTCATTTCCTCAACAAAAAAAAGGAATATCAATGAACTTATTCAGTAAGAAACGAATATACGGATGTTCGATAACAAGGAGCATCTGCTGTAATTTAAATAAACCCGTCAGCCTCTAACATATACACAGAGCAACGGATAGGTGTTGTTATCACCAATTATAACATCAAGAATCATAACAGACGTTAAAAATAATAATTATTATTGTAAATGTTGTAGTAACAAAGTGAGGTCATCAAGAACAAATCAAAAAACAAGTTTCTTCATCAAAAGATAAATATTGGAATCAAGAACGAAGCCGTGCAAATTATTCGCATCACCTTTCAAACGCATCAGCAAACCTCCAAAAGATGCGTAAGCAGCAGAAGTGTTTGATTCAGACAGCGCATTACTGGTTTCTTCGCCCTCAATTCGATAAACTTTACCAAACATCACGTATTCGAATTGATCAACGCGTGCGTAATGAACCTTTAATTTCACTTTTTTGGTCTGATTTAGTTATACTCACAATTATTATTCAGCTCATTTACAAAGAATTGACGGATCGCAATACTATGAGATGAACCGAACTAAACGAGCGAACAATTTGAGCATACGAATATTGACGACACTCAACAGCAACAGAATCCACAACTTCGATTAATGGAATTGTTCAGAAATTTTATCCAGTTCTTTTGCTGTATGCATATTTATGAACTAGACACGATATCATTACAATGAACATAATTCCACATTTATTTTAAAAAAAGTGATATTTTCGGCTAAGCGAACTGCTAACTAATCACGTCAGGATATTTAAAAACTCACCAAAGGGTCATATTCTGGTTCATCAGAGAGGCCATCATCACGCAATGTTGTAGCGAGCATTAAACGAAATTTATCGTTCAAATTCATCGGATATCTGTGATAAAGTTATTACTGCGAGAGCACTAAAACATTGTTGAATACGTTTTCAAATGCAGCAATGGAGATGTTAGAGTTTTGAGTAACTGATCAAACTCACAGCTGCGTGTTAACGTCCAATATCAATTCCATCTTGAAAGACTCAGAATCACAAAAAAGACGCGATACACGATCAAATTTCTTTCCATCCGGGTCAACGTCCTTCACCAGAAAACTATCATCGAAAAGAATCCCTGTTGTCATCGCTCCAATTATACGTCACACTCATAAAAAATGATTAACGATCAATTTTGCATTACTCATAATACTCTAGATCATAGCACGGCACTTCACATTGAACTTTGCCCGAGATTTCGCACTACTCAGAACACAGCCCAAACAACCAAAGGGTCTTTATGGTACATCGTTCTATAAAATATAAGAAAAAATACGAAAAAAAAGGGCTTCGCATCATAAGCCATCGGTGACAGTAAAATGTAAAAGGCCGCCACGATGGAATGACTAGAGACTGACCACCAACACGTAATAAAATCAGTACAAAATTCAAAATTCATGTTCAAAAAATCTTTCATGATTTTTAAAGCAACAGTTAAATCTAAAGGCATCTTCGCACTTGGCCATAAAACTGGTCTGAGCGTAGGGGCGGAGTCATTGAACAGCATGCGCAATTATAGGTCAACGTGTGATTGAGGGCTTTTAATCATCGCAATTTATACCAGTGGTCAGCGATGACACGCTACCGGAAAACGATAGCGTGCCATTCGTTGATCCGCTAAACTAAGAACTGTAATTTCCACTAAGAAAATGCATCACCGCTATCATCGCCAAAAAGTAACGAATCGCTATCGCTGATCCGCTAATTAGGCAAAATTAGTCCGCTTTCGCTAATTTGAAATTTTTTCTCAAAATTTGCAATTATTTATTTGTGTTGGAAAAACCTCATAGCGACATTAAACAGTTGAAATTTTTATTGAATCNTTCAGCAAAGAAAATCATTCCGACAACAAGCACCAGTCAATAATAAATGTGCAGCAAAAGCATTTTCTGTATGCAAAGCATTGTTTGTGAGCAATTAATTATGTTCAGTTCTCTTTGATTTGCATTCGCACTGCTGAACACATCAAAAATTATTTGAATATCCAAATTTTTGAGAATTTCTGTATTATCTCACTTCAAGAACCTGTATCCTTATAAAAATACATAGTCCACCGGCATTAATATACGTGTTGCGATGCTTGGACGGAATGTTGACTTCATCGTTCAAGGATTTTGCTGTATGGACACTAAATTTTCCATTACTTCGTTTTGATTTCCTCGTGACTTCAATAATGGTCGTTACTGTTGCGATGATATGCATCCAATGCTTCATAAAGATGGAACAACGGGAGCAGATTGGTAGGGTTCATACTGATCCTTATATATGTCCTTACATTCATAAAATCATACATTCGAAGTTGGAAATTTGCGCACTGTAAGCATGGCGGAGTTTATTAACTCGACTCCGGCTGCCATTTATTGAATTTTTTATTGAAATCAGCTGCTGGGTACTACTTGGCGCACTACGATAACATTTTTACTCTGCTTTTTTCTTTCGGACCTATGATACCTAAGAATCACAAAACCCAAAAGTCTCCGAATAAGCGCCATCTTCTAAATTCATGGTCAATGATGCATCCAGACATTGAAGGTTATTGTTTGCAAAAGGATTGAATGTCATATCTCTTTCTTTCTGATCAGTTATGATTAGTGATGTCTCTATACCACGTTTTTGGAAACTGTTCTATTCTGTTCTTTTGGGCTCAAAAACGGCTCTATTCTGTTCCAAACTGTTACTTCCTCATTTGCGAACTGTTCTATTCTATTCCATGGAACAGAACAGGAATAGAACAGTTCAACTGGAATAGAGACATCACTAGTTATGATCAAAACGTATCCCTAATACGGTAGTACGTTAGGGCGGTTTGAATATCGCATTCTACTAGAACAGATGTTTTATCACAATACTTTACTGTTTTCATCGAGACGATTGAATGGTGAGAGTCTAGCAGTGCCATTCCATTTAGAAGCATAAAGCACAACTTGTTGAGGGAGTTAAAATGGTCCGTCCATTCAGGCTAAGGCTATGTTATAGACAGGATTAGACTCAGCCTCAGGTTGGGGTTGAGTCTTGGGTTGTGACCTAGGTTCGCCATCGCTTTTTGTTCGTCTCCCTCAGACCACAACAATGATTATTTTGTTTTCAAACTGCCCTTAAAGTGCTCCTCTTATTGTTCTGTCGTTTGTAAACAAATAATATTGAACTTTGAACGAGTACGTCCCTTTGCATTAGTGATA